GAGAGAGAGAGAGAGAGAGAGAGAGAGAGAGAGAGAGAGAGAGAGAGAACAGCAGAAACCCAAAGGACAAAAAAAAATGCCTCTTAAAGACTAAAAAACAAATTGGAATTATAGCAAGATAGATGAGGAGGGGGAATTTCAACATATATGTGATACACCCCCCCACACACACACACACATTCAATATGTGTCATTTGTAGAAAGCATGAGATAAAGTTGGAAAGTATTTTGAAAATCACTCAGAACCTCAACTTGCAAAAGTAATTAATTAATGACTCTGGGCATGTTGGCATATTTCTTTACTTTTTTTTTCTGTTTTCCAAAACATAGCCAATATCATACTATTATATTAATCATGCCCTTTCACTGAACATTATATAAATTAACACTTTCTCATTAAAATTTTGGAAAAGATTTTTGAAACCAAAAATAGTAAGTAAAATCAGCCCAACTCATTTAGTTTAGCCACCTTTTATGTGGCAATTTAGCACTTATTCCTAAACTTTCTATAATGGAGAGGTCAGCTTTCAAAATATTTGCATTTACCAGGTCACAGAAAGATGTTATCAGAAAAGTTGTTCAAATATCTTTTCCCATACTCCCAACTCCTAAACACTACCCCCCCCCCACACACACACACACTATCTCCTTCTCTCTCAACACACACACACACACACACACACAATCTTTTCCTTCTCTTTGCACTGTCTTTCCTATAAAGCAGATGGTGCTTAAAATTTCCTCGGCCCCTCACAAAGCTGTTCCTCTAGCAACCTTCCCTAAAAGACTGATTTTAAAACAAGCAAAGATGTTCTTTGAATCCCCTGCTAGGCAATCTGGCAGTCCAACCCAAAATGTTTCTAATTTAAAAAATCAACTTTATAACAAGATAATTTAATCATAGCAGTACTGCAGAGGTTAGGGTGTAGGGTGTTAAAAATAATTCTAAGCTTCTTGGTTTTTAGAAAGAAAATTATTTCTAATGCTATTCAAAAATCTCACTTCATCTCAGGTCTAGCAGATATATTCTTGCCTCTCGTTCTCACAAACCTTGAAACTTAGGAAACAACAGTTCTTTGGCTGTACTTTTGTACAATGATAGGTTATATGTTCCATTAGGAATTGAGGGGTTTGAATCGGGAAGCAGTGAAAGAGAAGGACAGTAGATCATACTGAAACATGTGTTGGTCCCACTTTGGACACTGCAGTGGATGTGCCAAAGTTATTTCACTTCTTTGGGTATTGGGTGACTTCTCTTTCAAATATGGATTGATTGTGTGCTTGTGAAAATCCTTTGTTAAGTCTGAGCCTCAGTTTGTTTTTCTAATATTAGAATTATAACATTTTTCCTAATTTATTGGGTTTTTAAGAGAAGTAAGCTATCATGGATAGTATTTTTAATACATGTCATGTCATAGATAATAAATGGTTCCGTATATCATGAATGTTTAAAGATCAGAATAGCTGAAGCAGAAAACTAAATGTAATGTGCTACATAGTAGCAGAGCTTATTTAATAAAACGTACTACTGGGTAAGCCAAGGTAGTTTCCCCTCCTAATGTTTAAATTTAAGAGGGAAAGATAAAAATGTATTTGCATCTCCTATTTCATTTCAGAGCAGTGACCAACTCTACCCTTCTTTAAAAGTGCCAATATTTGCAGACCAACTTTTAAATTAATGCTAAGGCCTGAACGCAATAACCAGCCTTTAAGCCTGAAAAGGGTGGAGGAGGGCGATATTAGAGAGGTACGCGTGCATTTTGTGTAGTCCTTAAGAATAAGTCTTCCTTTCTCATGTCCAGCCAACCTTGCACGCAACGCCCACCTCCACTGCGGCACTGGACCTGTGGAGATGCGTGGTTATTCCAGGAGTAGCCACTAAGGGGAGCCGGACGCTGGACCGCCCTCTCGGTTGCCATAACAACGACACTGGCTGGCGCACGGTCTTTGGAGCTAAGTGCTGGCTAAAGCAGGTATCAGATTGCAGTGCGCTTGCGGAGGCTCTGGGATTTCTGGTAGCCCAGGAGCCTCTCAGAATCTTGCTACTATTCCTCCGCCTCCGTCCGGGAAAGCTCCCTAACCCAGCGCGGACGCGCAGAGTGAAAATGGTTCACCATTCAGGCTCCATTCAGTCCTTTAAGCAGCAAAAAGGTCAGTGGGAATCTTGCTACCCCCTCCCCGCGGGCGTCACTTCCCCCTCTGCATGCCCTTGCAGTTGTGTAGGAGCAGCCTCTCCAGGTTTAAAGCAGCACAGAAGTGAGGAACTCTGTGAAGTTAGTGATAATTATAATAATGATGATAATAATAAATGTATATTTTAATTGTTTCTTCACTTCACATATAGCTCTGATTTTCTGAGCCTCCGCGCGGTGCCCCGGAGAAACAGGATTTATTTCAAGACTGCTTCAGTGAGTTGCAGTGAGCCCGTTAAGTAGGAGTTGGCTGAGTAGCCCTGTACCCTTGTGAGATTTGCAGACACAAAGGCTGGACGATGTTGCCTCCTTATGGGATTCAAATGTCTAGTATGCTTTTCTAAAGCGAGTCCTTACAATCGAAAGGCGTTTCCACAATCCTAGAATAAATGCATCTTGAAGAATTCCTGAAGTTGGCCTGTCCCAGAAGAAGGTGCTCTGTAACTTAACTTGGAAAACTTAATTTTTGTCCGTGTCCCACGCTTGGATGGGTTCAGATTTCCTTGTTAGGTTTCTCTTCTAGTGTCCTTCTGTTACCTTCAAGTTTCTCCACGAATGCACTGATTAGAGTCTTTATGTTCATAATCAGATCAAGAATTGTTCCAAGTTATCCTCACTCTTTGGTTCTTGCTCCTTATTTTGTTTAATAAAAATGCTTTTATAGAGAGCACATTTATTTCAAGGCACATTCACAATTTTTTTGTGTGTGTTTTATTGCCTAGGAGCATTTATTCAAGTAAATAATTACCTTTTTACTGAATTAACAATGGTAATTAAGCCACAGTTCACCATACAGTGCCTAATGTGTGCATTTCAGAATAGTAAATTTGTCCATTCAAACTGTTTGTTTATATATTTTACTTCTTTTCCCCTGTATCATCTGTATTTCTTTTGTCAACAGTTGTTTCCAAGTAGGTCGTTTACTTTGTTTTTAAACAAATCTTGTACACATAATTTATAAATAATTCTTGCATAAGACAGAATATTAGTGTGAAAGAGCTCAGAATTCCCTAACTCTGTTATCCAAGATCAAGTGTTCTGGGATCCTTCAAATAGATGTTAAATTGGGGTTAATGGGAAATACTGTTGGCATTGATGAAAATTTCAGCTAATATGCAATTAATTTTCAATACAAAATGTTCCCAAAATTTAAATTACTTCAAGAAGTTTTATTCTCTTGACTCTTTAAACACCTACAAATTTTCAGAATTAAGACAGATTTCAGGACCTTTGCAACAGCCTCACACAATTAGTAACCTCCTATGATACATGACTATAGGTGACATTTATTTTTCTGGGACCTGGAATATTGAAATGTCCCCAACAACAACTTCCTGGGGATACATGTTGAGTATTTAAGAAGAAACTGATTGACAGCTTTGGGACCACTGTCATTGCTGAAAGTGGGTGATAAAAAAAATATTCAAGTCCTGCCACTTCATATTTTTTGTGATGGATTATGAGCCATTTATTTTCAAGTTTTCTCTTAATCTTTGACACAAAAGGAGACATTAGCAAAATGATAAACATATAGAGGCAAAAGAGTAAGAAAGAAGCAAGATTAACTTTTAGCTAAGTGGTTTTGATTTATTGCTTCTTAATTTTGCTTGACATTAGAGAAAGATCAAGTTAAGGATTAGCTATTTTAATTTTTCAAATAGAAAAAATGTGATACTCTGTATGCTTTCTGACCCAGGAGACATGCAACAGAAAATTTTTAGGGTTGCTTGTCACCATAATACTGCCCAGTAAAGTGGAGAAAATTTTCCATGGAACTCTGCAGTCCTAAATTTTAGGCTTGCCATTGTAACTACCTGAAAAATCTTTAAGAAAATGTTTAAATTCTCTGGGCTTTGGTTCACATATAGTATGAAGGCATAGGACACCTGGACCCATAGTCTTTTCACTTTCTTCTCAAGTATGGGAGGCGCAGGTGGCAATATGAAGATAGAGATGATTACTTTCTGAGCTAGATGAAAAGGACAGCCTTATGTTTAGTTCATTTTTAGGAAATAATTATCTGAGTAATCCTATTATAGAGTTTATTTTTATTTTAGTCAAGTGAGTCCAATGCCTTTTTTTCAAAAAAAGTATATTTCAATTTTATAGTACTTAGAAATAGCCTGAGATATTTAGAAAACACCATCATGTTAAGATTTTAAAATTTTCCACTCTCATATGGAAACATTACACAAGGCATGGATATTTTCTGCTATGTTTGAGAACAATGTAGTAGTAGTCCATTTCTCATCCACATTCCCTTACTGCCACTTCTCAATCTCGTTCCATAAATCAGTAGATGCCAGAATCTGTAAAATGAAATGCTATTTGTAAGCCCAAATTTCTCCTTAAGCATAAATGTCCTTATCTGGAGCTCTGCATATAAACTCTGTATATCCTCCTTAAAATTATAATATCTCTAAGTTTCAGTTACTGCTTTTTTGAAATAAATATAATAATACATTCCTTGCAGAGATATAATGTTTATTAATGTGGTATTTATTTGAGGCTCAAAAATTAAGTAAATATCTATAATAATTATCATTCCCAGATTCATTTACTTTTTGTCATTTCCTTAGAAGTAAAAGGAACCGTTAGCAGGTCCCTTATAATTTTTTTACTGTCTTTTCTTTTACTCATTTAATTTTATCACTTTGGGATTCATCTTGAACTTCAGACCATTCCTGTCTTCAGTTGAAGTTACAAACTCTACCCAGTACCCTCAGGGAAACTTCTGAAAAATTGCCATAGAATAAATTTAAACATACAGTTGAACCTGTTTAAAATTTCATTGCAAGTAAATAGTATTGTTCACTTCACACTCAGCCCACACGTTACCATCTTCATGCTGTATTTATGCTGGGGACTCTGCATAATGATAGCATTATCCAGAACACTTTCATTCCTGAACCTATCACTGCAAAACCCTTCTGCAGAGAAGGTGGTATGAAAGGAAGTCTATCAGGTTTGTTAGACATCTTTATGAGAATCTTAGTCAACTCTGATTTTCTAAGAAAAAATTAATCCTTTTTTGTTCTGGACAGTGTCATTATGTTTCTGAAGAAAGTATCCACATATATTTTCAAAATTTTTTTTATTCTACTTTTAAATTCTGAGTTTTTCTTTTGAAGAGGTTTAATAAGTTATGAAATAAAAAATGAAGCTCTTGGGCAATGTGGGGAGTGAAGGCACAGTGTGCTTTTTTTTTTATGCACTCAGGATAAATTAGAGTATGTTATGGTTCCAGATGACTGAGAGTGCGTGTTTGCTTTTGCCTTAGCACATTTTGGAGGAACACATTAGCTGGCAAATTAGCAGTGATTTCTGGGGAAAGTCCAGCTTTTCTTCCTCGCCTGGATTGCTGTGTTTCCCTTGATTTTTGATGGACTCATGTGTCATATGAGAGTGGGCGAAAAAAGAACAATGATAGTTGTGGCTTCTGGTGGCTGCTTATTTACCAGTAGTGCTACCAAGACATTCAGAGAATCCATAGGTCACATTAAACACAGCCTGTTGCTCCAGCTTCATGGGATTAGCTGAAGCTCTGAGTGATTCATTGCTATCCTAAAGAACATTTGGCTAAACCTAAAAAGAATATTTCAATAATTCTGCAGAACCAAATACTTTCTACTAAAATTAGTAGTTTAACATTTATAATAATTTGTATTTATATGGGACCCATAGATTGTAAAGCACAGTCATTTCCTTTTTTCTACATAACTCATTTAGTCCTCAAGTGTCTACCTATAAGGCTTTCCACCACCCAACTTTGTGCCCAGTTTCTACTTCATGCTACCCAGAGAGAGAATCCTGGGGAAATACAGAGCTTCAGAGTCTCTGATATCTGTGCTGTAGGCCTCCCTTCAACCTCATGGATCTGTTTGGGATTCAGAACCTTCCTACACTCTTACCTTAGAGAAAGCAGAAAAAAATCTGAATCCATTTATACAAGAATGGAAATTTATTCACCTATGTGTGCTAATGTTTCCTTGCATTTGCAGTTTAGTCTTTATTTATGATTAAAGGACAGAAGGAATGATCTCTTGTTAAAATAATTGTTACATAGGAAAAAAGTTAAGGAAGACATTTTATGCTCAGACATTATACTTATCTTGGGTTGGAACTGAATAGCAGCCTGTATGATTAAAAAAAAAAAATCATGTCTCATCTCATCTGGAGCCCCTCTGGTCTTCTGCTTTGTTCTTTAATCTTTAACGTCTCTGTCTTTCCTGTCGTAGAAAAGAATTTCTAGTTATTAAGAATTCTATTTCCCCAGGAAGATTGAGACAAACTATGAAAATAATACAGACAAGCACTCTACCAAGTGAGCTGTATCCCCAGACCCCAGGGAATTATCCAAGACAAAATCAAAACACATGTGTCTGGTACCATTGCTTAAAAAATCTCATGTGTCTCAAATGCCTCAGCAAAATTAGTGTCAAAATTCAGAGTGGAAAGCCTGATGTTTAAGGGTTTTGAATTAGCAAGAATAGTGTACATTACACGATAAATGTGTATCTTCTATTAGTAATGAACAAGAGTGATGAAGTTTAAAGTAAATTTCACCCAAAGTAATTGTGATTTAAATATATGAATGTTTTAAACTCATCTGAAAGTTCAGTTATATGAAATAGCACATTCCTTGAAAAGTCTAGAATTTTGATGTGTTCACTTAAAACTGGGATTTAACATATCATGCACATGGATGCTGCTGAAAAAAAGATATTTGGGATTGATAATTAAATAAATCAGTCTGTCATAAAAATTCAATCCCTTAAAAATCAAAGGATAGCTCAACCTTACTTACGTTTACTCTTTTGGCATTTTATAGGGGTGCATATATTTATAAAATAATAGCATATAATTATGTCTTAATGTGATATCGTTGTAGTTGACTGGAAAGGGCACTGACTCAGAGTTTGCTATAATAGAATTCTTCAAACTTCTCTGGAACTTAGG